TAGGTCACCTAAGGGTATCTTTGGGCAAAATATGAGCGATTTGTCAAATGGGACGTTGACCGGCGTTTCTCGATCCTAACAGTCAGCCATTCTTAAGATCAGGCATTATGTACAGTACTTGTTATCAACCAATGGCCGTGTAGTACGGAGGGGGTGTCCGTTTATCATTACACAGTGTGACGTGCGTTCCCGTGAGGTCTCGGTTTATATAAGGCTTATTTACCAGAGCTTCGATAAGATACAGGTAAATTTTATAGCTCCAGTTTTTTACTATGTCGCCTAGAGGACGATCCTCAAAAAAGTGCGTAAGATCAATATATTGATATTATAGAGAAATATCTTAAAAGCCCTATTAAATCTCCATCTCAGTTAAGCCCGTCCCTCTAATAACCACTGCCCTCCTTCCGAAATTGCAAGATGTTTAGAAAACTGACAATTGACAAATGCAATTCAATTATTTACAATTTTTAAAAGGTTATCATTAGCTATCATTAGCTATAGGCTTTCCACAATTACTTTTCATTGCTAGTCTTTTTAATGAAGATGAAACACTAGACAATCTCCCAAACCTAGTTCTAAGTGTGCTAGCTTAAGCCCAGCCCTTCTGAAGGGCTTCAAAATATTATAGACTAAAATTTTTATGGCAATCCTTTATGGCTTTCTCCTAGTATTAATACTTTCTTATTATTATCATTATCATTATCATCATCATCATCATCGTCGTCGTCGTCGTCATCGTCATCGTCATCGTCATTGTCACTGTCACTGTCATTGTCATTGTCATCGTTATTGTTATTGTTATTATATGTGATGTAGTATCGATTGGAATTCACTGTTTTAAATTCAGCTAATACCTTCTGGTCCATTGCAAACCACACCAGCGTTCTGACCGATTACACAGCTTCCATTTGTCCACCCACCAATACACTGGACACTGTTAATCCGTAAAGTGTCATTTCCTTGCACATTAGCTGAACCACTGAAAAGTACAGGCGCGCCTGTGTAACCCAGCTCTCTGCAAACCACATCAGCGTCTTGTTTGTCCCATTGCTGATCACAGACCCACACCCAGGTGTTATTGAGGTAAACTTGAACAAGGCCTTCCCTGGCAGAAAGCCCTTGAATCAGCCGAACTGCAGAGAGAGTTAAAGTGAATTTAAATGTAATAAAAATAAGTCGGATAATAAGTTTTCGAGTAGTGATCAAAGTTTGTCAAGATCAAAAGAACGCAAAAATAGGAAAGGGCAATTTTATTTTTCATGATTTTGAAAGATGCAATATCTTATCAAACTCGTTATTTTCCACGTGCGCACTGTGGAAAAGCCAAGTTATATTTCTGTGTGCTCCACACAGGACAGCATATCCAGCATAACTAAACATACATTGTTGACGATATAGCAGCGTAATTTTGACGAGTTTTCATGATCGCAAGCGTAATTTCAGCGCACAATGACTGGCAAGATATTTTATAATAATACATTCGGATCAACTTATCATTAGCGTTAATTTGTGAAGGATTTGTCAAAAGTTATTTTACAATAACTGCGGAATTTGCGAGCGCTCATTGGCTAATTTCCATTGTCAATAAGCGGACAGACACACGAATTTGCAATTTATGAGATAATTTATTGTAAAAACAAATTGACGTCCGTTTTTCATGCGTCTGTCCCGTTATTGATATTGATCATGAATTTCGTCATAACTTTGTCAAAGTAGTCTGCAGATCCACTCCGCTGTGGCCTCGTAGATCCACATCTACTTTGACAATGTTATGACGAAATGCGTGATCAATAACAGGACAGACGCAAGAAAAACTGATGTCAATTAGTTAAACTTTATGTAGATTTTTGCTGATACTGCGATTCCTAAAGGAACTGTTGACATGCCGCTGAAGAAACTGTCGCCACACCCATTGTTATTTATTTTGAAACCACCCCTCATTAAAAGATAAATAAATAAGTAAATAAGTAAAATGTAAATAACCTGTCATTTTCTTACCTGGTGGATTACACATGACTCCAGCATTATCACCGTACTGACAAGATCTGACCACGTCCTACTGTCTGAATCTCGAAGCACAGTTCAATATCGAGTTCTCATTTCCTACGCATTCTACATTAGTGAACCCTATAACTCCGGCTTCCACATCAAACCCTCCTCCATTGTAAGTTTCTAACAAAGCACCATCGTATCCAAGCTGCCGACAAACCACGTTAGATTCTGTTATTGTCCATTCCCCCGAAAAACAAATTCTTCCCCAGACTCCATTGTACAAGACTTCAACACGACCTCGGTATACGTCATGTACGCTACCAATCAACCGAACTGTTAAAAAAAGATAATGAAATACTTTAAATTCCGCGTTTGCTACGTAAATACAACCCCTATAATAATGATGATGAAACATAGTTTAGACTGATTTAGAGGTATGACTTAATACACATCACGGACATTTTGGTTTCATTTCAGAATCCGCATATCCTAACTTTTAGTTCTTTGTGCCTATTTACTTTTGCATCAGTGTAATTAATTAAAGTTCTTGTTGCATACTGTATTTTGCTTTCTACTTGAAATTGAGGAGATCTTAATTACTTAAAGTTAGAAATAATCACTTCTCTGTATATAGTCTACATGTATATAGCTTGAGTACAGTATACAAACGTCGCGTATAAAAGTGGGTGAGGTCGAGGATAAACGCATTACAGAATTGTAAACGGCCCAAAGTAAACAAATTGTATGGGTTGGTTTTGATCTATGTAGATGTTTGACTTTCAGAACGTAAAAATAAGAGATCAACGCAAAAATTTTCAAGTCAAATTGTGTACCTTGATCGATTAAAAAGTAAAAAAAAGTATTTCACGATAATCTTGAGCCTACCGGTGACCTTACTCATTTTTTTTCAAAACTCAAACTTTTCTAAACGAAAACGCAGCGCCAAAAGGTATGGTTTCTTTAGCCGTTTTAATTTAAAATATATAAGGTATGGTCTCTGCACTCTCGTCAGCAATTAGGTATTATTGTCAGGGGGAAATATTTCTCTTATCATTGTTCAAATTCATCTCTTGAAAATGTGATATAAATACCGTCATGAATTTAGAGCCCTTCATTAAATGTCCATACAAATAGAAGCAGTTTTTGAGCAGGATCGGGGGCCCGTTTCACGAAAGCCCTGGAATCTTTTCGGGCCCGCAAAGCCATTTATATTTATGGTTACAGTATACCTTCAGGTCGGCAATTTTCTTCAAATTTGGATTTTTGGGTCAAAGTAGTGGTCGAACAATAATCTCTAATTTCTGAAGATAAAAAAATGAAAAAGGCTAAATACTGGCGGAGAAATGGCGGTTTTACGTTTTCGCCGGAAGTAAAAGTTTACCTCTTGATTGACAGCCCTATGGCTCGTACGCAATCAACCGAGACGATTTTCGCGGGAATTACCTGTATGGATGTCATGAATTGACTACTCAGTTGATCAGCACTGTTGTTGTGACCACCAAACATTTTTGGTATTAGGTGTAACTCTATTAAGTTATAAGTAAACATAGACCACGTTAAAAACATGGACCAGTTCGAAAAAGAAAAAACAGCGAAGAACGAATGAAAATACATCAATGAGTGAAGAACCGAAAGTTCGCCACGCGGATGAAGCTATAGCTATCGTATAAGGCGGGCAAAAACTTCGTGGTAAGAGAAAAGAAAGGTTCTGTAAAAATTTCGGAACTTGACAGCAATAACATGGATGTCGACAGAGACTCTTCTGATCAGTCCGATATCGAAGAATCGTCGGACTCATTGAGACCATTTGAAATATTATCCATGCACAGTTGACCACATACAGTTGCTCCGCCGCGCTTTCTTTTGTTTGTTTTCTTCCCTCAGCCACTCCAGCGTTCGTATCCTTTTTAGTCTTCCCCATTTTGCCAGATCAGCTTTAAGAAAAACCGAGCCACAGAAAAGTTATCTCTCCGCCTTCGGCGCCTTGAGCGCAAATCGAAACACAAAGGTTTTTCGGAGATTCGCGCGTAAATTTCACCAGGAGGTTGACGGTAGTAAACTTTCCCTGCACTGATTGATTCAGTTATCTGAGAACCCAGTTGAAGGCGTTTGTGGGCGGAGGTTGTTTACGAAGCAGAAGATTTTTCTTAGTGCTGTTTTCTCGAATAAATTTTTTCGCTTGAAGCAGACACTTTAAAGAGTTATAACTCAAAGGGAATTTGTTCAACTGCCCTCAAATTTGGACAGTAGCTAGTTTAACATATAAGCTACAAAACGTGTCTGCGAATTGTTAATTTCGAAGTAATTTTTCTTCGAGAGCGATTTTTGTACGATGACTCCACATTTTTTTAATCCTATTACGAAATGTTCTGTAACGTTTTAGCGCAATTGAATATGCAAAAATGCAGACACGTTTTTTAAGCGCTTTGGGTCCTGAAACCGAGGAAAAAAAAATTAAATTGGCGAAAAGCAAAATTCGCTTTGACTTGTAGCTTTCGAAAGGGTGTTTCGGGTGCTCGCATTTAGTGGTCGTGAAAATTCGACAATTCATTTTATTTCAAAATTCTTGGTATAGTTTGATAGCCAGCTCTATAAGCTTTAATTTGATATGGGGTATAGGTATCTACAGTTTAAACTAAACGCGCTACATCGCTTGCACGCGAGACACCCCTATATACGGTATACGGTAACCTTAATCGTCATTTAAAGACAGAGCAGTGTATATGCCTGAAACTTCTTGTATGAAGAGAACCTCTGTTTATATTAAGAATACGTGCATAAAACAGCTCTGAAGTCATAAGGTTTGAGATTTTGCTACGGCTTTTCGGGTGCGAAACTTTTTGAGACCTTCAAGAAACGGGTCTCTGGTCTGAGATAGGTAGCAACAAGAGAAGATCAAGATAAGTACTTTAATCTTCTCTTGGTAACGAGTTTAAAGGTTAGGTAAGGATAGGGAAAATCACATATTTTGGTCTAAATGAGGTCAGGATTTTAAGAAGTGTACTGCAAATCTTCACCCAATTTTCCGAAGAGTCCATCCTCCGGGTCTCACTGTAACACCTAGAATTTCATGACGTTCATTTTTTCGGTTTGTTTTAAATATCAGTCAAACTAAAAATGTAAATGCTGGGAACACATAAAGTTGTTGTAGACTGTTCAAAGCCTCTCTTTTTATCAATGCACGCGAAACTGTCCCCACCCCATACCCTGTCAAGTCTTCCGTTTTGCGCCGACGTCCAGTTCTTTCGCGATTCTATCAGCGCGTTCAACGATCGAATAAAAATATGAGAAAATAGAGGGCTGTAAACAGTCTAAAGTTGTTGTTGTTGACGTGCAGATCTAAAGTCATTAAATTTATTATGCATTCAACTGTGGCATAAGTTTATTTGGACTTATCGTAACGTAGCTTTTAGCTACACACCTTCAGGTCCACTGCACACCACGGCAGCCGTTCTGTTATTTGCACAGCTGCTGTTTCTCCATTCACCGTGAACACAGGAAAATAGCGAGTCTTCATTTCCGGTACACTGGACGTTGTTTATCCATGTTGTATCATTGTCTCCTACTTGAGTCGTGTTGGTGTAAATTTCAGAGGAGTTCGAGTATCCCAGTCAACGACAAACCACATCAGCATCTTGTTTGTCCCAGTGTACACCGCAGACCCATTGCCAGGTCCTGTTGTAATACACTTGCACCAGGCCTCCATTAGGAGATGTTCCTCCTATCAGGCGCACTGCAGGGATAAACTGGGTTACTCAAAGGATAATTTAAAGCGTATCTTCATTAATAATCAGAAAAAGAAAATAACGTCCTAGCTGTTTCTGAAAGAAAACTGTTTAACTGTGATATTTCTTGCAAGGTAGCCTTCTCTGAAATATACCTCTTAAAACTTATACTACTTAAGTAAATTACCACGGAAGGGGTGCAATATAGTCGACAAGGAGATAAAGAGCAAATTGAGAAGTGAAAAGGGGCGGAATTAAATGTTTTCATACTTTCACGCCAACTTACAGAGAAGACCGATATTCGCTTGTCGTGCGAAGCAAAAGCCGCTTTTGACCAGATCCGATTGAATTTTTGCAAAAATTTCCTTGATTATCCCTTTTGCTACGTAGGACGTGTGGATAACGATGTTTTCTGTAAGTTGGCATGAGATAAGATATCAAGAAACGAAGAATTACAGGCAACCCATTTATTATTTTCACTGCTCTATTGCTCTCTTATACTTCTCAACTATATTGTATGCTCCCTGTGGTTGAACCCATAACGTGCTTTTGTTGCTAATGATAAAGTAAAGTTGTCTTCTGATGAAAAGAAACGTCGTCGCAGTTAAATTCACAAGTTAAGTAGTTGTGATAAAGTCAAACTTTAACGAGATCCATTACTCTGCGATACCGGTGCAGTGCTCTACCAACTGAGCTGTCAATCCAACTGAGAGCTGGTCTTTTTGTGGATTCGTATGATATCCGTGAAAGAACTTCATGGAACAGAATATTTTAAATTCACAAATGTGAACTGCGGAATAAGTATCTGGTCCAATATACAGTAAACACATTCAAACCGTGACCACTTGGCATTTTTTAAAAATTTTTAGTGACTGTGGAATGAGAGAATAGAATAATGAAAGGATTAGTGTTTTTACACTGTAAAAACGCTAAACCTATGTATTATATGAAGAGTCCTCATTTTATAGTCATCAAAGTAAATCAGGTGATCTAATTCTCAAAGGAGAGGTTTTGCATTTACCTGGCTGTTTACACATGGCGCTGTTTGCACTGTGTGCCTGTGCAAAGCCACAAGACCTGACTGACATCCATTTGTTGTGCTTGCATTCAGATATTGAAGTTTCGTTACCTAAACACTGTAAATTGTTTGCCCATTTACTTCCTGTTCCTTCACCAAACCCACCACTGGAGGACGCTGTGACAGCTCCATCAAATCCCAGCTGACGACAAATTACGTGTGCGTTCTGTAGATTCCATCGCAAAGCGCTACTACAGAATGTGCCCCAGGTTCCATTGATCAGTACTTCAACACGGCCATACGAGAAGGGCGGAGTTGGATCGCCAACCAACCGAACTATTATGTATATTAAAATGTCAAAAGTTTGAATTGACACATTGCTCCGACAAGAATTGGTAAAATTATTCGTACAACAGAGTAGCACATACAACGTCAAATTGACTTTGCTACAGCGTGAATTGAGAGTAAAACTGAATTAAAAGAAAATAATTTTCTTACTTATTGCAAAATTTTTAAAATAGCATATATATTGTTTTTAAACGTTGTTTACGTTTGCACATTAGCTGATTTACCATCAAAATTTGCGGCTGTTGTCTTCAGCTGAAACAGGACTGCTGAAAGAGAGAACACAATTGAGTCATGTCATCAGCTTGCAACATATGTAGTATATCAAACACGAAATACCGTGTTTGATCACATCTCAAAACACCGAGAGGAGAGTTGAAAATACGATGCGTAGCGGAGTATTTTTGACGAACTTCGAGGTATTGGAAATGTGGTCAAACACTGTCTTGAGTGTTTGATATATCTTCCCAATCGAAATTAAAACTAAAGAGAAAACGGAAAAATAAATTCATCAAAATCTATGCTAATTAAGATCAGATATCCATGCACCGTTACGGTTATGGTTTCGTTTGTTTAAGGGCCCATTAAGCGATCTTTTCGAACCGTTGTAGGGAAAATTTATTCTCATATAACCTCGTCATTTTCATGTGTTTTAACTTTTTCATGGTCAGCAACACTAGTGATGACGTCATCAGGCCACGCCCATGGTCATGTGACTAATACTGAAAAAACGCAAAGGCTCCC